CATTCTGGCACAGCAATAGGCTGCCCCAAATTTAAATCTGAAACCACTGTAAAAGTCTGACTCACAGATGAACACTATACAGAAGCCTGATGATGGCAGATGAGATTCTGCCGAAACGTTGCTACAACTTTAAAAGCACAACTACAATGGCGTGGGAAAATACCCGAACAAAGCTGAATGTCTATATATATTTCTGATCGGCATTTCTGATTCCTATTGTTTATCCACTGATATCATTTTTCCCAAACTGTATAATATTGCAAGTCTTCCTTATTTTTTAACTCTAGTGTTAGTCTATCCATTTCTGCTCAATCAAATATCTTTTGGATTATTAGACTATTTGTCAGCATGGTGTCTTTTTTCCAACATTGTGTGAGTGCAATTCTCGCTGCTGTAATTATATGAAGGATTAGATATTTTATCGCTTTCGTATGCTTTCCCTTAATAATCCCCAGGAGGAACAGTTCTGGCTTGAATTCTATTCGGGAATTTGTGATGTCCTGTAACCATTTCTGTATTTTAGTCCAATACTTTTTGACTTCCAGGCAAAGCCACCATACATGAAAAAAGGTACCCTGTGCCTGTTTATATTTTCAGCAATTTGGATTTAAATTTGGATACATTTTTGCCAATCTTGTTGGGCGCTAAATCCCAACGATAAAACATTTTATTTTGGTTTTCTTTATATGCAGTGGACTTCGTTATCGTATAATTTTTGTTCCACATTTGTTAAGGGAATCCTGCAGGTAACTTAGTAAAACTATTAAGTGAATCGGGCTTCCCCATTGGCTTTGCTTGTCAGAACGTCATAAAAAGTGATCACACAACCTTGGGACATTGTAACTGTCATAAATATGAGTCAGTTGTCAAGCATCTGAAGTTTTCTCAGGTGACCATGGGGATTCTGCAATGGTGATAAGTGTGAGAAATGATCATGAGTCACTTTTTTTAGTGCTGTATAACTTTGAACAACTGTTGTAAATTGAAGACTATCTATAGTTGTCAAAAATCTCATGCAAGGTCCATTTGAGGAATAATCCAAATAAACTGGAGTCCATAAATTGCCTTTCTATTGCAAATCACAACAGGGTGGATCCCTAATCCTGCTTGTGGTTTTTCCAAGTTCAAATAGTTCAAAGGCCTTATCTGCATGTAGAAATATTACTGATTTTCATTATATTGTTTCAAATATTCCAAAATTTCAAACACAAGTATCACATTCTTCTTCAACTATCTTTTAGGTTAAAAAAAATCCCACAAAATTATTAGAGGTTATCTGATATCTCTTGCCTCAATGTTTCTGTTCTGATATTGGCCCAAGTATCTTCATCGAGCCCTTTTTCTAGCTGTTCTACTTTTTCTGTCCCTGCTTGTCTAAGAAGATTTCAGTGAGAAGTCTGATTGCTGCATCCAGGATGTTGTCTGTTGGTTGCTTACACTCTAAATTCCCTTTCTTTAGCAGCTAAGATTTGTTTTCATACACAGTGCTTAATGAGTCCCTTTGTCAGAAGTTCTTTTTAAACCATTCCCAGTTTGATTGACTTGAGCTGAAAACATCCATCAAAAGTACTGGATTCTAGATAATTTACATTTTCTGTCACCAATAAGATGTTTTATTTGTGGAGATGTTTTATTTTGAAAAAAATATCCAAGATTCAAAAGTGAAACATATTGTGCAAATTTTTTCTGTTTTTTATCTTGTACATCTATAATATAGTAAATATACAAATAGCGTGTAAGTTCTTTTTGTTTGTTTTCTTATAATAGTTTTTTAGTATATTTGTACCATACAATGTTCTCTCTAATATACTATTATACTATTTATTATTGTCCATATAATATATACTGTATAATACTATATATTATTGTCCATCTTTCTATATTATATTATTCCGACAAGTATATTGTTAACTATTGCTACTATATTTCTACTAGTATACAACAATAGTTTTACTCTTACAAACCCTGGTCTGTCTTTAAATCCTCTTTGGGATTTCCTCTCTTGTTTTTCTTCTTTATTAATGGACAGCAGGTAAAGCATTGGCACTTCCCAACACTGGGATTGGCTAACACGATGTTACGATTTACGACCGCATCACTTAGTGATGGAAATTCTCATCTAAATTCTATTCCTTAATCAAGGACTACCTGTATAGCTCATTGTCTTGATCCCTGTTTTACATCCATCATGGGCGGTGAGGTAGTTGAGTGAAAACACAGCAAATGGAGATTTTTATGCTTGTGATGGTATGCTCATGCTTACATCCTCATTCTTACAAGTCAAGTCTTTTTGTCAGTGGGGCAGCCTGCACGGGAAAACATTTGGTTCAGCCATGTTCACTTTGTAAAAGAGATAGGAATATCTTTAGCAGCCAGGACTCAGACACAGGACCCAAGATTGGGATTCTACCATGATGACTCCAGACCACTGAAATGGCTTTGCAGGACTGGCTCAAGGATGTATTCTTTCCATAGTAGAGAGGGCCATAGAAGACAGCATTACTAGGCAGCCTGAATCTGAGGCTATTGTGGGACCTTGTCTGGCAGCTGAACTTTGGAGAGGAACAAAGAAACATTATGTTTCTCTATCTGCCTTCATTATCATGACCAGGAGCTTCAGGATACATAGCTATTATTATGGGCTTTGACTTTGAACCTATAGGAACTGGAAACATGACCCATCTATTGAAGAGATGAAAGGGCTGGAATATAGCCATCAATACATTCCTGACAGCCATGGTTTGTACTTGTCCTCCTACCTGCAAGAAGGCATGTTCCTTTCCAGCCAGGACAATTGACCTCTTGACCATCATTCCTACAGGTGAACTGTATATGAGGTCTTTTTCTATGACTTATGATCTCTATCAATTGGCAGTCCATGAACTTCATAATTTGGCCACTTCACTGAGGAAGGGGCACCCATAGATATCCTTGAGGGCTAACAATGTTAAATGCTAGCCCTTTTCGTGACCCTGACCTCTCTCAGGTTGACAGTTCACAGCTTTTTTGTGATCTTCACAAACTTTTTTGTGACTTGATCTCCCTTAGGTTGACATTTCACAGCTTCTGCCAGCTAAAGGTCAACTGAGCCAAGTAGGGATCCAATCTAGTTTCCTTTATAGCCCAAAGTTTCATTTTAAACATCTGATAAAGGGGGAAAAACAAACTATATTTTATGACTTAAGATACCTTGAATTGTCAAGCCAAGGAAAACTGATGTCAAACTTGTGTCGAGTCTCCCTGGTGCAAGGGATTAATATGCATGGCTGTTAACCAGAAGGATGGTGGTTTAAGTCCACTCAGGGACAGCCTACTTGATTAGTTGAATAGATGAATAGGATGGATGTTAATCCATTGAGTTCTTCATCTTGGGACTGGTTGACACTT